AGCAATAATCATAGACCAATTGGATGGATAACATTGGCTATATAATTCGAAATGGTTCAGGATTTGACCCAGAAACACAGCTACTTTATGCGCAGAACCATCATAAGTAGCTGCCAGAGGAGGTGGTCCCCACCTTGCTTGTGTTTGCCCCTCCCAATGAGGCCCATATTCCATATCTCGTCCTTCCATTGTACTAGATCTCATGGAATAACTCTCAGCCCCTACACTTTTCTCTTCCAAGCCCCTAGAATGCAAATCCGACCGTTCCAACCGTCTCCCAATGTCAAATTCTTGAAACCCCAGTGAGCTAGATGTGTTTAGAGAACTGTCAGAAACCAATGCTTGTTTACAATTCGATGAGCCGCTATCCATCGGTCCTCTCAATGTCATCTCCCCAAACTGATGATGTAAAAGTTCCATTGTATCACTTTGTGGCACCACCCATCAGCTGTCTTCCGTTCCAGGCCACCATTTAACTTTCCAGTCAAACGTTCGTTCCATATGTTGAGGCCTATCCCCTTTAGGAACATAACTCCGATCACTCAATCGCACTTCTCTGGTTGTTTTTGGTCTCACTGCTGGCTGCTGTGCTGCCACAGGTATAGAATCCCTCATTTCCCCCAAACCTTCATGTTCATGTTTCTTCCCTTCACTCTCTTCAGCCTCCTCAGACCCCTCTGTTGCCAACCATTCTGGGTCTTTACCTTCTGCCATAATGCCTCACGTAACAGCCTCACAAAGGGATAAGATGCTGGTGAGTATGGTGGTTTGACATTGAAATGAGACACAGGGAACTGTCTCTGAGAAAAATGCCAACCCTGAGAGAACTCAGGTAGCAGTATTTATTGAGAAAAAACACAAGCAAAATACAGTCTGCATATTCAGAAAACAATGACCTCAACAGGAGATTACTTCACCAGCATGAGAACACACAATCTTGGAAAGTCCCAGATGTTACCTTGCTAGGATGAGATCATACAGCCACAGAAAGTCTCATGGGAAAGTTTGGAAAGTCCCATGAGAAAGCACAACTGTGTACCTTGAACTTTCACCCATTTTCCTATTCCTTCTAAACTGGCAGAATCAAAACAGGATGAGGCACCCTGAGCAAAGATACACCTACCCCCACCAAGAATGCCCACATCTCCCTAGACTTACTGCTAGTTATACAAAGGCCTTACAGAAAATGATAAAATGATTAATAAAATATATTACCACAGTGAGCGCTGGCTTTCTGTCAGCTTCCGTTGGAGTATGATGAAACTTTAGCAATAAACCACTTTACTCACAGTTGTGTTGTGGCAAGACGTGTTTATTATGATCTGTTTCCTCCAACAACAGCAACAAATGGCAATTCCAAGCAAAGCCAGTGCTGAGAGCATCTGCCTCAGCGCTTTTTATAATCCCTTTCCACTAATTACTTAACATCCTCCCCTAGTAAACACCTAACATCCGCTCCTAGCAACCCTGCGTGCCCCCACCCCGCAATATTATTAATCCTCTCCACGTGCAGGTCCCCAACCAACACCTCCCTCAGTGTCATCCCACCCCATAGTTCGTGCCGCCAGTCCCAGTTCAGCAAAACCAAAAGCCCCTATTTGTATGTTGAGACACCAGCCCAAAACACCTCCTGTCTGGTCGCACCAGAAAGAGGGAGAGGCGTTGTGCCCGGGAAAGTGCACACTGCCAAACAGCTGGCAAGTCTGTTTGAAATGTCTCCCGGCTGGTCGCGCCAACACGGCATTGTGCTGGGAGCGTCGTACACGGGGAAACACACGCACCCCACCAAACAGCTGACAAGATTGTTCAAAATGCCTCTCAGCTGGTCGTGCCGGCACGGGGAGAGGCGTTGCACGTGGAGCGTCAGGACCTGGGATCTTCAGGAATCTCACCCCCAACCAGGGTAATGTGTCGGGCTTCATTCCATCGGATGGTGTTGGCGTCGTCACTGAAGCACATCACCAGGACTCTTGGGCTCCCAGCAGGGTCTGGTCTATCTATATTGCCCTAACAGGCCCAGGAGGGTTTGAGTCCCAGTAGGAAGAAAAGTCTTTCTACTGATGTGCTTTTGGGCAGAAGAAAGTGGTAGTGGTGTGGGGATAGAGAAGATTTCCCCTGAAGATGGTTTCGTAAATCCCTTCGAGTGCTCTCCTCCTGACACAGGACTTCTAGTCCACATTTGGACTTGCTGCTCCAAGATGGTTGAAGCCCCAAGGGAAACCAGAGCTTCTAAAGCAGCCAAGCCTCAAAAGGTGGCTCCTGCTGCTTTTACCATAGGGAAGCAGCCTGTGAAAAAGACCTCAAGGGCGGAGAAGAAGGATGCTTCCAGGCGCCATCAGGCCATCGAGAAGCAAATAGCCAAGGTGCATCAGGCCTCTTCTCGCTCAATGTCTGCACGCCCCCCATCTCCAGCATCACTCATCAGTGAAGTGGATTTGGAGGAGCCTGGGCCTTCTTCCAGACCTGGGGTCCAAACTTGGTCCCCTGATGTTTCCAGAAGAGGCGCTTCTCCCATTCCTTCTGAAGGCTACAGTCAAGCTGAGGATCTTCATGGAGAAGCGGCACCTTGGCAGGAGCGTGGGCAAAGTAAACAGGGGGTGGAACCCTCCTTTCCCTCTACTGCCCCTGCAGCCAGACCTACTGATCCTTCTGATTCGGATGTCCCTATTAATTTGCAGGCAATCAGGAAGGGCATCTCAGAAGGCTTGCAGAGAGCTACCCATCATTCATCTGCAACTTCTGATTCATCAGAAAGAAGATCCCGGGTTCGTGAAGCTCTCGTCTACACACATGAAGTCCAGCTGGCCAGCGGGCCGGAACCTGGAAGAGCAACGGGTGATGCCTCCACGTGCCTGGAGAAATGGCTCTGCGTGCCACTTCCGGCACACATGCCATAGGTTCGCCCTCATGGTGCTAGGCTATTCAAATTCCTGGAATTTTGTACTGCCAGTCCTGGCACTCCCACTAGTGATACTGCCACTGAGACATATTCAGCTTCTGTGAGTAGGGAGACTTTGGAGTCACAATCTTGAGTCTAAAGCTTGGAAAGCTCTTCTGTGTCATCTCTGTAAGGAAGGCATCAGCATTGTCAATCTTCGTAAGGTACAAGGACCACCTGTGGCATTTGCAGGAAGATATGAAAAGGCTTTTAAACATAGAAGAACCACCCTGGTGGAAGCTTCAGGTAACTGTAAGAAAATGGTATAGTCTCTGTGTGATTGCATTGTAGATCTGTATTGCTTAAGCTAATACATTCTGTGACTCTTGGTGGCCTACATCCTGTAAGATTAAAGCACTGTTCAGAGGCAGTAACTGCAGCAATGTGTAGTGTATACATGGTGCGGTCCTTTGTCCTTGAAGAGTAACCCCAGTGGAAGATGCTATCATAGGAATCAGAAAGGGAGACTTCCGGTGGTGATGTAAGGACGAACGGAGGTGCTGAAGCCCGTCTGCAGTTCTTCTTCGTGTTTTCTTGCTGTTGGTGCGATCCATTGGGGTGCACGAGTCCTGCAGAGAAATGTGCCAGTGTGGGGAGATTCGAGCTGTGGTGAGGGGAGGGCAACTCCCATCGCAGTGAAGAGAGACCCAGCAGAGGCCAACAAGCAAGAGACCATCAGCTAGTAATGTCGGTCCCGAAGTCCGAACTGCCATCTATGAGAGGAAGCGAGTAAATGACAGATTGTGGTGGTTGATGGAGAAGTTTGTGTGAGGAATTTGTGATTGTGATTGAACGCTGAGTGTTGAAGAAGATCCGCTGATGATAACAAGAATCTGATTGGAGCCCGAAAGAAGCGGCGAAGAAGCGGACGTGAGAACGAGCGAAAGTGAAAGGGCTCGAGAGGTGGAAGAGGATAACGACAGTAACGAGTAAATAGAGAAGATCGGGAAGGTCGGAGAGGTTTGTCTTATCACTACCAACTGGGGAAAAACAGTTTAACAGACGGAGGGTGTGGGCGATTTGGATTGTCTTCAAGACTGGGCTTATTAACTCTGAGATGAGAAGATGATTGGAGGCTATGAAGTAAGCAGACAATGTTTTACTATAGACGATATTTAGCAGTTGATTTTAGCCCTGTTGATCATCGATTTGGAGGTGTAGTGTGTTAACTGGGGAGATTGTTTTAGGTGAGGAAATCTGGAAGAATTGACTTTAAGAACCTTAAGACGGAAAGAGGAGTGGTCATAGCTGAGTGTGCTGAGATACCAGGAAGCCATAGACATTACTCAGCAAATCTCCACATCCGGGACGTCTGGAGGTGGAACCTCACAATTTCAGAGACGGAGAGTTGAATAGTTACTTTAAGACTTTTCTTTCTTCTTACCTTTTGATGTTGTGACTAGTTATTTTTCGTCTTATCAACTTCCTTTTTACTTTTATATAAGAAAAGATAATCGATGCTTGCAATTGTGATGTAACTTGCCTGATTTAGTTTACTTAGTAGTAATATTAGTCATATTGTTATTTATATTTCTCTTGATATATAGGGAAAAGACAAAGGAAATAATAATAATAAGCATTAACTATTTAATAACCATAATTATTCATATATTAGTACCTGATTATACTTTGTTGATCACTTTAAATAATTAACTGATTTATATGGAGGTCAATTTATTTCTATTTACACTGATGATTTTTTATAATACTGTCTAAATATGTGTGTGTGTGTGTGTGTGTGTATATATATATGTATATGTATATGTATATGTATATGTATATGTATATGTATATGTATATGTATATGTATATATGTATGTATGTATGTATGTATGTATGTATGTATGTTGTGACTGGAAGGATTAAGCCTGCTAGGAGTTTTGAATCTGATGCATCTGAAGACGGAAGGTTTGAGCCTGCTGTGAATGTGGAGTCTGATTTATCAGAGGACACAGATGTGAGCCAGGAGGATGAGAGAGTGTCAGAGACACGGTCGTCCCCAGAACCTTCTACTTCATTCATGCCTCGGGTGTCAGCAGCTGACCCACAGAATGAGCCAGAGGCTTCGAGTGAGGACAAGACTGACGGATGTTGGCTTGATGCTAGGACTAGAAGAAGATTGAAACGTCAATCACAATCTGAAAGGAGCCGTCAAGCCAGGGATTAATTAGAGAGACTGACACGCCCCTCCAGGGGATTTAAGGAGGCGTGCTGGCTCTCGATCTTTGCTTGGAGCAAAGTGCATTTTGGGATTCGGAAGAATACGTTTGACCCTCTTGGATGCAGCGTTGTGATTTATAGTCAGCTCGGACTTGCCAGACAGATTCTAGGAAGACTGCCAAGGACTGTGTAAACAGAAACATTTAACTCTGCATTGTCTGTGTTCGTTTGTTTGAACATTATAACTTTGGAACTTTGGATTCTCACCTGTGGATACAGGTGAGACAGAACATATATATATATATACACACACATATATATACACATATATACATATATATACACATATATACATGTATATACATATATACACACACACACATATATATATATATATAAGACACCAAGTTACCAACATCCTATGCACAAGCAAACCACCCAAAAGCAACTTGCAGAAAAATGAAATTAAAGCGCTACAAACCCTGAAAAGAGATAGCAGCATAATCATCCTCCCAGCAGACAAAGGGAATGCCACTGTAGTAATGGACAGAAAAGACTACGAAACAAAATTGACAGACCTACTCCAAGACTCCACATACAAACCCATAAACACAGACCCAACCACATATCTGGAAAAATTAACCAAGAAGAAAATTATAACCAGCCACATGAGCAAAGAGATCCAACAGACGATCATCCCAAGAGAAAAATCTTCCAGATGCCCCAAACTATACGGCCTCCCAAAAATACACAAAGAAGGCATACCTCTCAGACCCATAGTCAGCTCCAGAGGAGCACCACTACAAAACCTAGCTAAACACTTAGCAAAACAGCTACAGCCCCATGCTGAAACAGCAGCTTCACATGTACAAAACTCATACCACTTCTTGGAAATGATCAAAGATCTACATGTGGAGCAAGAAGATCTGCTTGTAAGTTTCGACGTGGTTTCACTATTCACTCAAGTCCCGATAAAAGAGACCCTTGAAATCATCAAAAATAAATACCAACCAGCCAAACACCTCATGGAACTAACAGAACACTGCTTAACCAACACATATTTCATATACAAAGGACAAAGATACAAACAAATTGAAGGAGCCCCTATGGGATCACCACTGTCACCCGTCATTGCAAACCTGTTCATGGAAGAATTCGAATCCAGAGCCCTGGCCAATGCCATCCACAAACCCAAACTATGGTTAAGATACATCGATGACACATTTGTGATTTGGCCCCATGGAAAAGAAAACCTAAACAATTTCCTAACACACCTAAACAGCACACACCCCAAAATCAAGTTCACCATGGAAACAGAAACAAACAAACAACTACCATTCCTAGATGTACTAATCTACAAAAAAACAGATGGCACACTAGGACACACCATATACCAGAAGAAAACACACACCAACCGCTACCTCAATGCCCAATCTCACCACCACCCAGCACAGATTAACTCCGTGGCCAAAACACTAATTACCAGAACCAAACGCCTGGCAGACAAGACACACATTAAGACTGAACTATGCACCCTGACTAAAGTACTGACAGCCAACGGCTTCCACAAAAGCAAAATCACCAGCTTGATCCACAAAAACACACTGAGACATAATAGAGACCCAGAAGATGAACAGACCTATGGAACAGCTGTCCTGCCCTACATAAGAGGTACTACAGACAAAATTAGTAAGGTACTACACAGACATCACATCAAGACTGCCTTCAAAACAGACAGAAAAATAGCAGCCATCCTTAGCAACCCCAAAGATAAAATTGACCTGGAAAACCAAGTCATATACAAAGTCCCCTGTGCATCATGCCCAGCCACATACATTGGACAGACCAATAGAAGAATAAGTACCCGCCTGGATGAACACAAAAATGCAGTCAAAAAGCTGGAACACACTTCCTCACTAGTCCAACACATGGAAGCCACAGGTCATAGCATCAACTTCAATGGCACCAAAACCCTAGCCACTATAGAAAACCCTAGCCACAGAATCATCAGAGAAGCCATAGAGATTGAAAAAAGACCAGAAAGCATGAATAGAAGAGATGATTCCACCAGGCTGTCAATCATTTGGAAGCCTGCACTCACAAACAAAAAAATCTCCACACCACAAGCCAGGCAAACACCTGGGCACAAACAGATCCCCCCTGATACCTCCAGCTCAAACACACCCCAACCAGGCACCCAGATGAAACCCAGCTTCCTAACTAATGATAGCCGTCCATTTACCCGAAGCCAAGCTGCACTAAAGGCCTCCAATAAAGTAACACAATGCTGCCAGCCAATCAAGATACAAAAAGAGCCAAAAAACAGACAGAAGATATTAGAAACACCAATCAAGCAGAACACAGCAAACTCCAAGACCAATAAACACAGACCAAGACTCCCAACCAATCAGGATGAAGAAAAAACCATTCTGGCACAGCAATAGGCTGCCCCAAATTTAAATCTGAAACCACTGTAAAAGTCTGACTCACAGACGAACACTATACAGAAGCCTGATGATGGCAGATGAGATTCTGCTGAAACGTTGCTACAACTTTAAAAGAACAACTACAATGACGTGGGAAAATACCCGAACAAAGCCGAATGCCATACATGTAAGTACCCGCGAAAACTTAAGAAAACATACATATATACATATATACATATATACATATACATATACACATATACATATACACTACACACACACACACACACACACACACACACACACACACACACACACACAGTATCATAAGTCCAGTATCATAAACAAACTTCAGTAACCGGAGTTTGCTAAGAGTTTGCAAGACTTACAGCAATCCAGGCAGAACGACGATCAGGAAAAAGGCAATAGGGAAATGCAAGAAGAGGAGACAAAGTTTCTGGCTCCATCTTATGGCCGTTGGAGGAACCTCAGCCAATCACAATTACAGCATTCTCTTAAAGATACAGTATTAAATTATTATCCTGGTTTATATATTGCCAACCCAACTGTTAGGTGACTATCATTCCTAACATTCTCCCCTTTGAGTAGAATATATAAAACCTTACAGTTTAAGTCCATATTCCTCACAGCAACCCTTATGTTTTATAGTGCCTTGTGCTTTTGTAAAATGATCTGCAGTATTATTCTCTGATATGCAGTACTCCAGTATAATCATTTTACTTTGAACACATTGTCTCACATTCAGATATCGGAGATTGGTGTGTTTTGATCTTGTCTTTAGAGCGAGATTGGAAGCCATCTGATTTGTTGATTGGTTGTCTTCATATACAACAAAAGGTTCCTTTACATTAATTCCCATATCTATCATTAGTTGTTTATAACATACTAAGTCCGTACATAATAGAGACAAACATGAGAATTCAGCCTCCATTGTTGATAAGCTTAGATGTTTTTCTCGAATAGACCGTCATCCAATTAACACCTTTCCTAATAACACTACAGTACCTGACGTTGATTTACATGTCGGTACGTCTGTAGCGAAACTTGCATCGGCATATGCAGTTAAACTTAGTTCATCCTTAGGCTCCAAATATAATGCATAATGCATCGTTTAAGATATCTCAACACACGCTTAGCAGCTTGCCAGTGCCTTTCAGTAGGCTCAGCATTCAACCTGGCTAATTGGTTGACGCTATATGCTATGTCTGGCCTAGACCAATTACTAAGATAGGATAAGCTACCAATCAATGATTGATAAATGACTTCATCAAAAACAGGACTTTGCACATCACTATGGCTAAACTCCTGGCTCATTGGTGTTTTAGCCGGTTTACAAAGTTCCATTTTAAAGTTTTTCAGTAACTGGTTAATTTTATCTGCCTGTGAGATTTTGTATCCTCCCCTAGTTTTATCTATTTTCAAACCAAGATACTGTTTAATCTCTCCTAAATGTTTTATTTTAAATTTCTTCTCTAACAGTGAAATAATCCCAGTAGCTTCTTGCTCAGTCTTAGTGATTAATGCTATGTCGTCAGTGAACAATAGCAACAATGAAACTACACCATCACTTTCCTTTTTGAATAAAAATGGATCAGCCATGCCAACTACAAAACCTATCTTTGTTAATTCCTTCACTGTGCACTGGTTCCATTCATAGCCTGATTGTTTCAAGCCATAAAGACTCTTTTTTAATCTCCAGCAATCGGTTTTATCAGTTTTTATCCCCAAAGATTTCTTTAAATATATAGTATGCTGCAACGGTGCATGTAGATATGCCATCTCAACATCTAAATGGTTTATTGTGTATTTCTTCTTAGCTGCCCACACTAATGCTGCTCGTAATGTGGTAGCCTTCAAACTAGGTGCAAACACCTCATCATAGTCGTTGGCTAACTGATCGAACCCTTGTGCTACTAACCTGGCTTTATGGGTAACAGTCCCATCTACACCTGTCTTAATTTTATAAATCCACTTACACTCTATGGCATGCTTACCTGGTGGTAACCTGGCATTTTCATACACCTCCAAACTTTGTAAAGATTTCAGTTCCTTATCCATTGCTTCCTGCCAAGCAGCCTGATCCTTAGCAGGATACAGTTTCAGTTCATTATAGTAACTAGGAACTGTATTTACTTGGCATACAATACTTGCCTGATGTCTATCTGGTGGTCGTGTTACACGGATTGAACGTCTAGGTGACTCAGGGCTTACTGGTGGACTCTCCTGTTCCACCTGCTCCTGTTCTTCTACCTCCTCCTGTGCCTGTTCTTCATCTTTAATAGCTATTGATGGTTTAACTATCTCATCATTAGGGACTATTTAGGTGTCGATGACAACATCATTGTTCGATTCCTGTTCTAATTTATTCCACCCAACATGCTCAAGAAATTTTGCACTAGTGCTACAGTAAATATTAGCTGTGCCTTGATCCCAGAATCTAAACTATCTATGGTTGGCCTTGTAACCTATGAAAAATAATTTCCTAGCCCTATGTTGTCCTCAGTCTTACTTGTGAGGGAATATGCACCCATGCTGGAGCTCCAAATGTGTGTAGATAACTTAAATTTGGTTTTCTGCCATGCCAAAGAGTGAATGGCAATTCACCGGTTGTTATGTTCACCACATTGTTTAACACATGGTTGCTACACATTATGGCCTCACCCCACAGTGTTTCAGGCAAATCTGAATCGGATAATAGTGCGAGCCATGGCTTGTAACGTTTGCCCTCTTCGTTCTATAAACGAGTTATGTTGTGGCCTGTAAGGTGCAGAAAGCTTATGCTTGACATCAGCCAATTTCAACATCATTTGGAATCTAGTGTTAATAAACTCAGTCCCGTTATCTGTAACTAAGGTAATTACCCTATATCTCATTTTCCTTTCAGCAAATCTTAGCCAGTTAAAGAAATGTTGGAACATTTCTGTTTTGTTTTTCATTAGATAGCAGAAACTGTACTGTGAGTAATGGTCCATTATACTCAAAACATAGCAGGCACCTCCCAAACTGGGTGTCTTAGGATCAATTATGTCAGCAAAAACAACCTCTAAAGGTTATTTGGTCTTAAACCCATTCAATCTGTTTGCTGGAGTAACCTTACTCTTCTCTTGGCTACAAGCATTACAGTTTAAATACTTGCTACAGGGTTTCAATTTTACTACATCTGACAATTCAACAGTTTGAGCATTTTGAAATTAATGTGCCCTAGATGTCTATGCAGTAAATGTATACATTCATCATGTGGCTTAACATTGTTATAAACCGAGTTAGCCATCTTCAACTGGTCATCATGTATCACATATAAATCATTCTCTAAAGTAGCAGTAACCCTTTTACCCACTTTCTCTATTATACAGTTATCTCCCCTAAAGGTTACTACATAACCAAGATTAACTAAAGCCCTTACTGATAACAAATTAAATTTCAGTTTAGGTACATATAACATAGTTAAATGTTCGTTTATACAAGAACAATATGCAGTACCTTCACCTGATGCTTTAATCTTCCATCCATTTGCCAATGATACATGTTGTTTACTCGTGGACATCTTTACAAACCTTTCCTTATCTTTAGTAATGCATTGCAATGCTCCACTATCAACAGCCCACAAATCATGGTTTACAGTTGAATTGCTAGACATAGCTAAACCAACATTCTTCTTGGCCTTCTGGTGTTTACCAGTATTCTGTCTTTTTCCCTTCTTACAAAATCTAGCTATATGTCCCCTAGCCCCACAAGAAAAACATTTCCTAACAGTATAGGCAGTTGAAGATAAATCCTCTTCTTGTGGTTGTTCCTTCCTCAGTTGGTCCCTATCCATCTTTACAAACTTTTCCTTATCTTTAGTAATGTATTGCAATGCTCCACTATCAACAGCCCACAAATCATGGTTTACAGTTGAATTGCTAGACATAGCTAAACCAACATTCTTCTTGGCCTTCTGGTGATTATCAGTATTCTGTCTTTTTCCCTTCTTACAAAATCTAGCTATATGTCCCCTAGCCCCACAAGAAAAACATTTCCTAACAGTATAGGCAGTTGAACACAAATCCTCTTCTTGTGGTTGTTCCTTCCTCAGTTGGTCCCTATCCAGCCATCTTCTTGCTTCTTCTAACAATCTTCCAGTTATGTCAGTCAATGTCAGTTAATCTTTGGTCAGGACTTCCAGTGAAGATACGTAATCATCATAACTTTCATCCAATGAGGAAAGAATGATGTAAACTTGATGCAGCTCTGAAAACATTAGTTCCTTTTCATGTAGCTCTTGAAAAGTTCTTTTCATGAAGTTTAAATGAGCTAACATATCTCCACCTTTCAGAAGACGTGCTCTAAACAGTTTACGTGTAAAATGTATGTGTGCACCTACGCTGTCACGAACATAAATCCTCTTCAAATTCTCCCAACACCTAGCAGCAGACTCTTCTCCACGAATAAGGACAAGCTGCTGGTCACTCAGTGTTAGTCCAATTATACCAAGAGCTCGTTCGTTGTTCCGTTTAAAGTCAGCTAACTTTTTGGCATTGTCTTCATTATTTGGATCCCAAGCATTTACATCCGGTGGATCTTGAACTGCAGCCCATAACCCTTCCCTACGCAGAAGTAGAGTGCACTTCATAGACCAGGAAACATAGTTTGTTCCATCCAACCAGGTTATCAGTGATAGACTTGTTGATGGGTCTTGTGCCATCTTTACCAGGACAGTAACCCACAATTAAACAGTAAACAGCTGTCTGTATAGGGTACTGAGTATTCCCCATTAGGAGAATGACTGCACTCAGGGAAACGTAGTGAGAGTGGTGTTGAATAACACACAACCAGCATACAGATACACTGAATAGTAAAATGTAGGTTTTACTTTCAGTAAACGGGTAAACAAAGTCCAACAAACAGTCCAAATCATACATAGTTAAAGCAGGTAGTATTCAATACAATCAGTCAAGGGATAATCCAAAAACGAAGTCCAGTATCATAAACAAACTTCAGTAAACAGAGTTTGCTAAGAGTTTGCAAGACTCACAGCAATCCAAGCAGAATGACGATCAGACAAAAGGCAATAGGGAAATGCAAGAAGAGGAGACCAGGTTTCTGGCTCCATCTTATGGCCGTTGGAGGAACCTCAGCCAATCACACTTACAGCATTCTCTTAAAGATACAGTATTAAATTACTATCCTGGTTTATATATTGCCAACCCAACTGTTAGGTGACTATTATTCCTTTTTTTAAAAAACAAATTTTATTCAGTTTTTCACATTAAAAACAAAAATCTCTTTTTAGTGGACAACATATTTCCGGGTCATCACCTTTACATACAAATATGACAGCAATTATACATTCATATATGCATACTTAATTCTATTGTTACCTTTTCCATTCCAAATTTTCAGTAAGGAGAGAAACAAACACATTAATTCTAGCCTCTTTCATTAATCTCAATGGAAACATCTTTTTGTTTCATTTCAATTATTTCAAATATAATCCTTTAATATTTACTTTAAAAATAAAGATAAATATGCGTTTGCCTAATAATAATAATAATAATAATAATAATAATAATAATAATTAATAATAATGATAATAATAAAAAAGTTACCAATGTCTCTCCTTGCTTTTAATAGTCTATATTAATTTATTAATTTAGTTGGTTCTTTAGTTGGTTCTTTAGTCTGTCATATTCCCTTTCCATTACACATTCTTTTTATAAATTCTAGATTAATACAAATTTTAACACACACACACACACACAAAACAAGTACAGGTTTCCCCCCTTTTACTGTTTTGAGTGTGACACCTCAATGATTAAAATATACCTTTATTCCCTCATCTTGATTCCCAATAAACCATTATTTTTAAGAAGTTACAATAATAACCATTACATCTTTTCATTTGGATTCCGCAGCATATTTTCCCCCCTTGATTTTTAATAAGAGTTATCAGTATCTATATTACCCTATTTTCTAAATATTTTTAATTGCAGAAATATTCTTATTACCCCTTGTCACCCTGCAGAATCCCCTTTTTAATTCATCAACCATTATCTCTGAAAAAACAATTTCTTTTCAACATTTTACTATTTCCGTATTTCTTTATTTCATGCACCTGTTTCTTACTGCTTCTCCTCCCCCTCTTTTCCCCATATCTTTTCTCATTCCAGTTTATATCCCTCTCTTTCTTAATATCTTCCTTTCCCCTTTTCTGCTGGGTCTTTCTGCCTTTCCTGACTTCACAGGTATTCCCCCTTTTGATTGCCTTCTTAAATTTCAACTTTTTAACCTTCCTTCTTTCCCCACTTCTTTATAGTGTTCTTTGTGTTAATTGTCTATTTACTCTTTGAGTAGACTCCTCCTCTGAAGCTCTTTCTTCTTGTTCTTCAATTGCCATTGCCATTTTTTTTAACACAGAGCAAAGTGATTCGCCTCTTTCCTGTAGTAATTCTCTCATATTTTTAAGTTCCATTTTTAATTCCCGAAGAGATATCATGACACACTCTTATATTTTATGATTGTTAAAGTCCACAAAAAAAAAACACTTTTACTTTCCTTCTTTCTTTCAATTTTCTAAAGTTCTCAGTTATTCCAGCCGAGGGTCTATACCAAAAACATCAATCAATCCCACAGTCAGTTTTTCCTTGCTTTTTTCTTTATTCTGGTTCTGCTTTCACTTTCTAAGATTCTTACTTTGTTTCAATATTTCTTTA